GTTCTAATGAAGATACATGTGTTTTAATAATCGCCGAGCTCTGACCCCGCACAGACTGATCGACAGAGCAACTCTCTCTCAGAACAATGCTTATTTCACGTAAATTCATTAATAAACACATATGTTTTATATGTCTCAAGAAAGATAGAAATATAAGCTTCATTTTAAATACTTTAACATAGACATATATAAAGCTCAAGTGAAGATACATACGTTTTTATAGTGGCATTCAGTAGCTTGTCAGTCATGGAATGCAGAAGCCTATGCACTTGCCAATATAGTGTGTAATTAACAAAGATACGCTTATAAAGCCTAAAATATTATATGCCTTCAGAAAGACAGAGATATGCTCGTTATTGTGAGTGCACCAAAGGAAATATATCTTGTTGGAGGACAAAGATATATCAATTCTAAAATAAGTTTCGACTCTCGCTCGGGCGAGAGATAGCGCGACTCTCGCCCCATCTATTGGAGATTCTGTTCACCTAATGACCCAAAGCTACTCAAAGCCTCCTAGCATTACTTAAATAATGAAGAAATATGGTATATTTATTCACTATAATGTTGGTGCTTAATGCAGAACAGGAGAAAACATATATTTACTATAAAATAATATACTTCCATTATGAAATAAGTAAATATGTGGCCTCATAGGAAGTCAACGGTCCAGGTGTCAATGTTGTGGAGCGACTTATCCAAGATATATTGTTGTCTGGAAAGTGTTTGTTGGCATATCAACCTTCTGTACACAGTGATCCAGTCGTCGCACTTCTCTCCTTAAATGATCGCAAATTTAGTTTATTATATTAACAAGTAGAATACGTATTTCTAATAATATCTAACATAACTAGCCAGAAAATATTTAAGACTTATTGAAAAATACATGTCTGGAAGTTAAATCGAGTTCATAGAACAATAGTGTTGGTCTATACTAATCGTTATTCGTTAGTATGCGTTCGCTACTTAAAACATTTACTGTACTGATGTAAAATCTCCCATGTCTCTTCGCACATGGAACACCGAACCTTACACACTCTCTGATATATTGTTTAATTAATAGAGATTCACTAATAAAGCTTATAATTGTACTGTATATGTTATCAAAAAGGCATAGATAAAGTCGTTCTTACGTTTTAGTCACAGAGATTAGATATTAGTACAGTAAAGTAAAGTTCATTTTATTCAGGAAAGTACATAAATAGTCGATTTACAAACATAATATTGGATTTATAGATAGAGCTAGTACATACAATACCTAAAGCCACTAGTACGCATAGCGTTTCGGGCATATTATTGAGAGAGGAAAGATATTTATATTTAAGCAATTTTTTTTTTTTACCGACGCTCTCCCTATTGATGAGAACTACAACCTAATGAAGATAAATGTTAATTTTATGTAGATACTGTAATAAACGAAAGTTTTTAATGTCATCAGAGAAGCAGAAATATAGGCAAATTTTAAATCCCTTGTCATAAATATAACTGAAGTGAAAGCAAAGATATATGCATTTTGATAGTTACAAAGACAGCTCTTTACTTTCTCCGTCCCTTTTTCCCACACATTGATCATAGGGACTGCCGTTGGCTTCCAACTGTTTCCTCCATGTTCCTTTTGCACAATTTTTCCTTGCTGCGAGGATACATCTATCCTGCTTGTAGGACCCGTTCTAGTCTCTTTCAGATAAGGCTTCATGGGGCATAGAGAGGAACCAGCATTGTGGCTGCCTCGACAGTTGCAACAAAATGGGATGATTTTTTCACTTCTTTCAATTTTGACTCTACACTCTCGCGAGTCGTGATTTTTCCCACAATACCGACACCTGGGGTCAAACTGGCATTTCCATGTCATATGTCCCCAACGTGAACACTTCATGCACAGTATGGGCTCCTCAACGTATTTTGCAACGTTCCTATAGCCTAGTCCTTGCACAAAAATTTTCTCCGACGCCTCACCCTTTACCAAGGCAACAACCTGGCTTCGTTTGTCACCACGAACACTATTCCTCTTCGCCCAGACAACATTATCATTGTTAAGAGGAAGACAGTCAGGATCCAAGTAAGTTGGAAACTTGAAAACTATGATCTTTGTGTGCAACATACCTTCTTCTGGAGGAACCATCACTACATTCTCAAAACCAACCGTCGTGAGGCGTTCCACGGCCTGTTCAGTCCCAACTGTTATGTAGGGCCGGTGAAGACCCTCCTTGAAAAGTGGTTCGTATTCCAAACATTGTTTAGCCAGACGTACCGTCCACTCTAGCTTTTGATGGAAATTCAATTGGCATGTTGTAGGGAACAACAGCCTCTTCCTTCTTGTCTTGTCTTGCTTGTCTTGAGTCTTGCTGAGTAGGGTCTCGTTCTTTGGTCTCTTTGCAATCTCATCGTCACTCTCACTGTCTCGCTGTCTGTTATTATTTCTCCGTTTCTTTTTGTTCACTACTAATTCAAACGGTCGATTATCATCTTGTCTGTCCTCCTCACTACCACTTAGGCATAACGCCTCAGCCATGTCTTCGACACAGTCAATAATTGAGAACAAATGCACAATATCCTGTATCACCACGTGCAAAAACGAAGAGTGTGGGGCAATCCTCCACCTCCCACCAATCAGCGGACGCCAAGAGCGCCAACCTAGCGACCGCACACAACCGTGGTCTGGATACAACTGTCCACAAGTTTATACTCCTATGAGTGAAAAAGCATCTCCTGTCTTACATTATGGTTTGTTGTGATTGAAACCGTTGTTCATTGCATGTATGTATTCAGTTTCAAGTTCAAGTACGTTTGTTGAGAAAATAAAATTCATCTCAAAAGGATAGAGTAGTATAGGCTATTTTTACCCGCCTCAAATTCAAAATGTTTATTCAGGTAAAGTACATACATAAGGGGTGATATAAATATTGATGAATTTATAGATAGAGCTAGTACATACAATGCCTAAAGCTACTATTACGCAAAGCGTTTCGGGCAGGAAAAACACTAAAGACTAAAACTTTATACTAATTGAGATTAAATTATAAAATGTATTGAGAAAATATAAAAATAAAAAAGAGGGGAACATGGAAGAAAAACAGCAAAAATACAATTTGGTCGACAAACAGCATTGTTTAAAAATAACAGACATGGGTTGACATTATAGGGGTAAGGTAGGTTACAGGGAGTTAATTAGGTAGTGTTTAGTTTTATCTTAAAACTGGTTGAGAGAGGTACAGTCTTTAACATGATTGGGAAGGTCATTCCACATTCTGGGTCCCTTGATTTGCAGAGCATTTCTAGTTTGATTGAGTCGTATTCTTGGAATATCAAAAAGGTATTTGTTTCTGGTGTGGTGCTCATGGGTTGTTACAACCTTCAATGAAGCTTTAAAGGTCAGGATTGGCATTACAGTTCAGCATTTTATATATATATATATATATATATATATATATATATATATATATATATATATATATATATATATATATATGTCGTACCTAGTAGCCAGAATGCACTTCTCAGCCTAATATTCAAGGCCCGATTTGCCTAACAAGCCAAGTTTTCATGAATTAATGTTTTTTTCAACTACCTAACCTACCTAACCTAACTTTTTTGGCTACCTAACCTAACCTAACCTATAGAGATAGGTTAGGTTAGGTTAGGTAGGGTTGGTTAGGTTCGGTCATATATCTACGTTAATTTTAACTTCAATAAAAAAAATTGACCTCATACATAATGAAATGGGTAGCTTTATCATTTCATAAGAAAAGAATTAGAGAAAATATATTAATTCAGGAAAACTTGGCTTATTAGGCAAATCGGGCCTTGCATAGTAGGCTGAGAAGTGCATTCTGGCTACTAGGTACGACATATATATATATATATATATATATATATATATATATATATATATATATATATATATATATATATATATATATATATATATATATATATATATATATATGAGACATGAGAGGATGTGCAATGACTTAATATCTAACATATTCAGAGATTTGAGTAAGGGTACCGAGTGATGTCTGGGGCCAGAGTTGGATATTGTCCTAATAGCAGCTTTGTGTTGAGTAATTAGAGGACGTAAATGATTTTGGGTAGTGGAATCCCAAGCACAAATACCATAGTTGAGATAAGGATTGATGAGGGAGTAATAGAGCGTCACCAAGGCAGGGCGGGGTACATAATATCTGATCTTAGAAAGAATGCCAACAGTTTTTGAAGTTTTTTTTATATATTTAGAATGTGTCCCTGGAAATTCAGTCAATGAGAACATCAAGGAATTTGCCATCTATTTTGTAAACTAACTATATATATATATATATATATATATATATATATATATATATATATATATATATATATATATATATATATATATATATATATATATATATATATATATATATATATATATATATATATATATATATATATATATATATATATATATATATATATATATATATATATATATATATATATATATATATATATATATATATATATATATATATATATATATATATATATATATATATATATATATATATATATATATATATATATATATATATATATATATATATATATATATATATATATATAGTGTGTGTGTTGGTGGTATATTAATTTGAGGACTTATTATTATGCTGATGTCTGATTAAAATTTACATTAATATATGATCAGGGCGCCATAGAGTATTTTTCAGGTGGACAGGGAGTTGAAAATGTGGTCGTACGGCTGTACGATCTCCTAACGACCTGGGAATGACGTTGATACGAGGCTTTAAGCTTGTTGGGGGTCAATTAGCCGTAGTGTAGCCCTGACGAGGAGCTGGTCCCTGGGTGGCACTCAGCACAACCTCCTGTAAATTATAAACGCCCCAGAGCCAGCCACCCCGCGGGCTCCTGCGCTCCAGATCCTCCTTAGTGATCACTAAACCTCTCCAGATCCTTCTGTACACCGTTCTGACTCCCCTTCCTGATCCTCTCCTCACGTACGTCGCATTAAATTGCCAGTGGTTCATAATCGTAAACAAATATGGTCCCAGTGACAGTGGTGGGAGGTTATGAGAAAGAATTCTGCTCGCAGTCGAGGACATTGGCTGCGTCGACGTAATCAGACAGCTTCCGTTTGGGGGCGTGACAGATTGGGCAGGTAAAGCAGGAGGTGCACACCTGTATGAGGTGTTGCTTGGGGGTGTAGTGAGTGTATGTGGTGATGTGTGGTGGCTGTACTCGCGTTCTGATCTGCTTGTCATCTGGAACTGTATTGGACAGAACATTGATACATCGTCTCGTTGTCTTGGCCAGTGTGTATTTCATCGCCTCAAGTTCGTCATTATGTTCTTTTTTTAGTTTATATACCACATGCTGATATTTTCGTAATCCAAGTCCTGAAATTAGCCGTATTTTGCAGACGGGAAGTTTCACTTTCGGACAGAAGTATGTGACCTCACATAAAGATGACAGCGGTTTTAAATTTTATTCTGCTGATTATTTAGACAGGGAGGATGTTGTAAACTTCCTTGTGGCTTGACACATGAATTTTTTTCGTGATTGCTCTCAGTAGTATCCAAAATGGCCCAAAGAGTTATTTTGTTAGGTTAGTGTGGAATAGGTTTATTTAAAAAGAGTAGTGATGTCTAATGGCAACTCATTTGACCCCTTTTTTTAACCCTATAGATCCCCCTTGCTCATATAAGTAGTTATTCTTTCACTTTAATATATAAGAATGTGGTTTCACTCTTTTTGATGAATTAGCTATTGGGCTGGGCAGCAGTGTTATGCATTTCTAGAGCAGGTATAGTCACTCTTGGTTATGGATTTAAATTTCATAGTGTATGCAAAAATCAATCATTGGAATAATTCGTTCATTACTAATATGCTTTTCGTTTCCACTGAGACTAATGCACTCTTGTGTTAAATTTGGAACTGTGTAATCTAACTTAAGAATTAAAGAGCTTCAGCAGAATGTCTTATTTTGGCTTGAAGGAAAAGTGAATTTGTTTACAGAGGCCAACCTACTTCGTAAGTCATTCAAAACCGAACTCTTCCAAAAAAGGGGGTATGTCTTGATAACTAGGTATACACTTTTGCCCACAAGAAATATTAGTTTTTATTAAAAAATTTGTAAATTCTTTATCAGCAGTCTACTAGAAGTTAAAACTGCTCGGCTTAGACTCGGTTATAAGTATCTCTGGGATTTTTCATTACAGCTGATATATACCTGACCAAATGTAAACTGTATCAACAAAATTATTCGCACACCCTTCGTCACTGTGATGGAGTGCGAAAAGATATATGAATTCAGGGACAATTATATAACAAATGTTCCAGAGATGTATAAATATTTAATTTAAAATGATCAGCTACCAGAAATCTTAGCCTAATATCCCCAGTTTGCTAACTGTTTGCTAACCTCCATCACTGAGCTATCTAAGTGGGAGAGCTTTGTTAGCATTAGCCTAATTTTCTCTGATGCTTCCAGTCTCTTCACCAGGCTTCTTTGTCTGTAGTTATTTTTATGTCAGTGAAATTTCTCTCTAACTATATTTATTGAAGGAGGCTCCAACTAGACAGAATAGAACTTGTAATTTGTAGACTACCATATTCATAAAGCTACAGTACCTGTATGCAATTATCTTTTTTTTAATAGGGCTGGAACAGCATGGGAAGTCTACAGGCAGACATAGGAGAGTTGGCTCATCACTTGAAGCAGGAACGATTATTCCTGGAGGCAGAGAAGCATCAAATACAATTGTTAAATGAAAAGGTATGTTGATTGTATTTAGTATAATTAAAATCACATACTGTATAACAATTCTTTTCCAAGTTTACTCTTAAAGCACATCATAAATTTAGCTCGGCAATTATTTGTTGCAAGATGTTTTTATTTTTAGTACACCATGTACTGTATTAACATAGTCAATTGATATTGTAATACCTATAATGTATTGTTAGTTAGCACTATAAAATTTAAAATACAATTCTGTAATCACAAACACATTTTTAGTAATATTGTACTTAATTTGCTATTTTACCTTTGTCAACTGTTCTGAATTTAGTAAGTCCCTCAAATGAAACAGTGTGTTCTTAGGTAAGGAAAACAATAGAGCGAGCGTACCATGCTTCATGGGTGCGGGGAGAGCAGCAAAGAAACTACGATGACCTTGTACTTCGTCCTCACTCTTCGCCACCTGCGTGCTGCCAGAAGGCAAATCTCTTAAATCAGCTCAAGTTCATTGATGGATACAAAGTTCTGGGATTCAATGTAAGTTTTTCTCTGGTTAATGTTTGGAAATTGTATTTCATGAAACTGTACAGTATTCCATGTGTTGTGTATATAGATTGATATAGAGTCCCCGTAGTGCAGTGGTAAAACACTCGCCCGGTGCTTCGCGAGCGCTTTGGCCTGAGTTTGTATCCTGGCTGAGGAGGATTGACTGGGTGCCAATTCCAAACTATAGCCTCTGTTCACTCAGCAGTGAATGGGTACCTGATTGTTAAACCGATTTGGTGGGTCGTATTCCGGGGAAATATTAGGATTAATGACCTGCCTGAAATGGTATGTGTGCTATTGGCTTTACAAAATGTAAGAACTCTTGTATATATATGAAAAAAAGTATTGTTGGTTAAGGTCAGCTACAGTGCAGGGCATTATATACTCCATCATTTCTATTCGAGGTGTTGAATTTTGGTGAGCTTAAGAATTAAATGGGTTGTTTCTTCTTGTTCGAGACATCACTGACTGGATAATTCAGATGCCCTAGGTGATGTCCAGATGCCCTGGGATGATGTGGAGATGGGCCACCAGTTTCATATGTTCAGTCTGTACAGCATAATGAAAGTGTACATGGAAACTGTTCCGATGTCTACAATTCATGAGGAGATAATAACACCAAGTAAGGTCAGACAAGTGGGTTGCAGCCACAGGGTTAGCATAGTAGCTACCTACTTACCCACTTGGGCTAAGTGTTTAGTTTAACCCTTAGACAGTGGCTATGGAGGTCATACCCACCTGTGCACAAAAAATTCAAAGATTCCAAAAAATAATTTTTCAATGTAGAACTATTAATTTGTGTTCAGAATATAAGAAAAACACGAAAATAAGGAAATATTCGTCGTTTTAGTGGGTAGAGGCGCTCTGTAAGTCTGCGTCTCGCACTAGTCAACGCCCAGTGTTCGACTTTGGTGATGCTTCCTGATTTATTCTCTAATGTTTCACTGATTGTTTTATCACTTGTTTTTCTTCATTTACATCCAGAGATTTTCTATCAATATTTGTATCATACATGTAAAACACAGACATTAATTGTTTAAATCATCATATGATAATGACTGCATTCCCAAAGTAACATTCATGATTACCACATTTGTACCATGAAATGGTAGTAAGAATTTTTCATGGGTCAAAGTAAACTCCATTACATCCACATACTTATTATATCCATATGTGCATCATACATGTAAAACCCAGACAATATTTTTTTTAAATCTTTATATGATAACTGCATTACCTTGTGAATCAACAATTCCCGATAATCACTGTCTAAGGATGAAAAACCCAGACTTGTTTAAAAAAAAAAGTCTTGTATGTGAGGCCAACTTAGATGTTTCTATTTAAAGATTTCATAATTTGTTTATTTTATGTGTTAATATCTAGAATCTCTTGGGCAATTATTATTTTACAGGAATCTCTCTACGGTGATTTGCTTTCAAGCCTGCGTGAAAACCCAAGACTTGTCGCAAGATGTCTGGCAATGGGAGAGAGTCAAAGCCAGGAAGCAATGCAAGTCACTGCCAGGACAGTATTTTCTTCCATTTATGCCAACTGTGTCCTCCCAGATGATGAAACTTACGTCCTCAACTTACTGAAGTAATAATTTTGTAGATGCTATTACGTATGTTGTCACTGTAGAATACTGAGAATAACATTTATTACCATCTGTATCTCTCTCTAGTTAGATGTTCCATGTACAGTTGATAGTGAGCTTGGAGCGACTATGAACAAATCAATCTTAGTGTTAAGTGGGATGTAAACGAGAAAAGTTTAATTAAAATGACAAGAAAGTGTGTGGCGTTAAACAAACTGGTAGAAGAATGAGAGGAAATGCTTGGTGGTATGAGGAGGTAGAAAGTGGCAAGAGCAAATAATGAGAGAAAGAAGTGGATTTTGTTGATATGAAGGTGGGAGGGAGAGGGTAGAAGAGGAGGAGGAGAACTGGAGTATGATAGTGAAGGTACAGTATGTGAAAAGATTAAAGAGAAAAGACATGGATATATGTAGCAAGAAATTATAAAGAAAACTGGACAACGTCTTGGTATGAACTTGGAAAGAGTTTCAGGAAGACTAATGTATAGGTAAATTGGAATTTCAATGATAAATATGGTAGACTTAAATGGTGAAGAGGAGATTAGAAATAGTTGGAGAGAATACTTTGAAATTCTAATGGGTGGAAATTATAAGAGGTGAACATGATTGGATTGGTGGCATGAGAAAAGTGCAAGATTGAATAACAGCTGATAAATCTATGGAAGAGGTGATTCCATTAGTAAAATAAACTGAAATATAGTAAATTTGTAGGTGTTCGTGAGGTAAACTGTACGAAGAAATGATTAAAACAACTGCCCAAAATGCTACGTGTGTTAGTGGTTTTGCAAGAATGTAACAACCACCAATGTATATACAATGTGTATGTACTCTAACAACCCAATGTATTTTCTTGTATATAAATAAAATAAAATAATAAAATAAAATATATAAATAAAATGATGGCCTGATGGGACCTGATGGCTGAGTGTACAGTGCTCGGGGTTCATAGTTTTAAGGGATCGTAGTTTGATTTCCGGCGGAGGCGGAAACAAATGGGCCGAGTTTCTTTCACCCTGATGGCCTATTCACCTAGCAGGAAATGGGTACCTAGGAGTTAAGACAGCTGCTATGGGCTGCTTCCTGGAATTGTGTGTGTGTGTGTGTAAAAAATTAGGATTAAGGACTTGCTTGAATCGCTATGAGTGCTAGTGGTTGTATAAGAATGTAAGCACTCTTGTATACATAAATAAATAAATATATAAAATAATTGAATGGGGAGAGAAAGAAATGGCAGTAGTTCAGGAAGACTAATGTATAGGCAAATTGGAATGTCAGTGATAAATGTGGTAGACTTAAATGGTGAAGGGGAGATTAGAAATAGTTGGAGACTAGAGCAGTAGTGTGGGAAATTTACCAGAAGGCATGGCATGGTGATGTGCCAGAGAATTGGAGAAGAGTAGTGATTGTAAAAAAAAATATAGGAAAATCAAGCAGGTGTAGGAACTGAGACATTTGTGTAGTTGTCAAAATGTATTACAGTATAGTGATTGGAAGTCCAATAATTATTGATAAATTTATCAGTGATAAACAAGGTGGGTTCTGTGGTGGAAGAGGGTGTGTAGTCCTTATATTTGCATCGAGACAATTTATGGAGAAGGCATGAGAGGAAGATTGTGAAATGTATATGGCATTTCTGAGCTTGGGGAAAAAATACATTATATAGTTAATTGAGTAGGACTTTGGAGAATGATGAGTTGTGGCATGGAGTTAATGATGCTGTTAAATTGTGACAGTTTTGTAGATAGCAGTGCATATGTAAGAGTTGATGGTGTAATGAGTGTTTGGTGTGATATTGATGTAGGTGTTCATCAGGGTTGTGTGATGACTCCCTAGTTATTTAATTTATACCTGGTATATTTAGATGAGGTCATGAGGGAGGTCAAGATAAACAATGCTAGAGGTGTAAACCTAGTGTGTGTGGGCCAATTACGAGTAATTAAAGTACTGTACAATAAGATAAATTTCATGTATGCATAGGATTCAGTTCTTTTATCAGTGTGCGAGGGATCTATGTAGACTGGTTGAATATTGTATTGGAGTGTGAAAAAAGATACTTATAAGTGAGTGTAAGCAAAGGAAATGTTGCAGAAAGAAGAAAATTTGTGTGTGAAATAAATTTGAATGATGAAATATTGGAAGTTGACAATCAGTTTAAATACTAGGCATGTGTGCTTGCTAAAAATAAATATTTCTGCTATCGAAATTCAGAGTAGGATCAGCCATAGAAAGAAAGTGGGTGGAGCCATGAAAGACATGCTAAGGAAATACAAGATAAGAATAGATTAAGTAGTGGTATGTATAATTGCGATATGATGTGGCGTGAACGTGAGAACTCAAGAGTTAAGAGCGCTAAATGGAATATCTGAGAAGTGTGGTGATAGGTGAATAGTTATAGTAAAGAGTGAAAATGTCATGGAGAGCGGAGGACTACAAAAAAAAAAAAAAATAGCCAGATTGATACGGTCTTAGTGAGGTGTTGAAAAATGGATGGATAGTCATCTGGTGAACAGAGAAAGTATTCAAGTGAATTTGTAGGTAGTAGAGGGAGAGGAAGGCTGGGAAGGTGAGCATATTTGGTGTATTTTGTGAGGAAGTGGGTACTGTGTGTTGATAACACAAATATGAAAAGGAAAGAGGCTGGGGGAAAGCGACTTGTTAGAAGCAAGTACATGTAATGTAATGTAAGAAATGTATGTGAAAATTCTCCCTGTCCTCTGAAGTGTTGGGGTGCTGCTTAAGTGTGACAGTGCTTATTTTGTGTGTTGTATATTGTATAGTACTGTATTGAGTAATATAGTGAATAAACATATCATATTTTTAATCTTTACTGTTTAATGTTTATAACCTTCTGCCTAACCTTTTGTAAGTTGACCCCTGGTAGTTTCTCTTGAGTTCTTGACAGTGGCACACTATGGAAATAATGGGTCTCCATGGTTCCAATGACTTCTCTCTACTTACTGAAGATGAGGAGCTTTTCAAATCATCTTGCTTGTTCCATGGAGCTGGGCAGGCACACGAGGGATCAAAGATATACCCATTAGCAAGGTGAATCACCCATTAAAGGTTAAAGGATGTAAACCACAATAAATCTTCCTCCAATAAATGTTTGACATTACCAGAATTGCAGATAAACATTCTGAACAGCCTAATTAGGTACTTACTCTATCACATTTTCACCATCTCACGGTGGTCTCTGTGAAGTGGACATCTTGTGTGCACTTCTGAGTGGTGGTGGTTCCTTGGTTCCTCTTGAAAACAATTGGCTAAGCTTTTGAACTTTTGGACTTGTTTGGATTTTTCTATGTGATAGTTATTTTATGTCTCTTGCTACCTCAGTCTGCTATGGTGTTTGTTTCGTGGTTAACTTTTCACCACTTTTGAGGACCAAAAACCAGCAGCAGTTATCTTCTCTGAGATTTTTGAACCAGTACCAGGCAATGCTTCAATACTTTATCACTAATGCAAGGCTGCATTTATATTCATAGTGAATATATGGTGATTCTTTTGTTATAGCTCTGTGAGGGAGGTAAAAGGCTGTACCCTTTCCAGTATTTGTGCCGAGAGGAACATTATGCTTTCTTTTACTATGTTTTAATTTCTGTGGCTTCTTAAGCCTTTCAAGTCTATAGTCATCAGGATTCAGTGTTTTGTTAGCTATATACAGTATGTGCACTTGTACACTCTCACAACTGGCAGTTTCACCTGAAGCTTTATATGGTGTGTTTGGAGCAGTTCCCATGTTGTAGAGTTTATCTGGTTTTCTTGGCTTGCAGCTTTCTGTGATGTCTCACAGACTATACGAGTATATTGTGTCCTGTCATTCCTCCTTTTAGGTTCAAGGGGGCAGGGGGATTCTCACCCCTCAAGTGTGCAAAATGTTTTCCCATTGGATTTCTGTTTTAACTGAATCGCTTGAAAGTTGGCCTACCATGTAGCAACTTGTCCTCGAATTCATACTCTGAGTTTCAAACTGTTGCATCCTTGAACTATTATTAATATATGTGTTTCCCTTCTTACCCATCTGTTATTGCTCTTGGGGTTGAGAGCGAGTTGCTTACTTTAGAGTGAATCAGGGTGCCACTTGATGGTTGTAGGTAAAATGATTAAGTGCCTGGTTAGATTATACAGAATTTTGTTTAGTGATTTGCATGTTGACAAATATTTCTTGAAAAGAGGGGAATTGCTTTTTTACTTTAATTTTGGGGGTGGCTCACCTCGGTAGCGAGTGATCTTTGAATTGAATGTGCTCTCCCCATTTCATGGAGGGACAAGATGTTTTGAAACGGTTCTTGTCCTCAGTAAGCAGACAGAAGTCATAGGAGTCTGGCATACCCAATATCTTAGTGTGCCAGTACCATACCCTCGGGAAAGCTACCGTGGTGCTATCTAGAAAGAGGCGTTTCATTACACTCATTGCTTTTTCTTTACTTACTCAGACACTTAATGGAGTTACAGCTGGCAACTTCAGAGACCCCACGTCGATTGTTACGTCATGGCTCTTGTGCTTTCAGCCAGATATACCGAGCCTATGTGGACACGCTTCCCCAAGCCAAGGTACAAACAAATTTAATGATTTTTAATTCATGTGAATATTCATTTGCGTGTACAGCAATGTAGTACAGTACTTTGTATGTTGGTGATTTTACCAAGGCATTACAATGTTAAAGTCCTGTAAAGGACAGTAATAATAACCATATTGGAGTTGCAAACCAGAAGATACTGGATAAATTGAACCTATTAAACATTGTGTAACTATGAGTATAATCCCATTCCCAGAGATATATGATCAAACTGTGCTATCATAAGTTCACTTGGATTTCTTCTTTATAAAGCTTTTCTTCCTCTATCTTAGTCCTGTGGGCTGTGTTTGGTGTTCACTAACTTATTGAATGTTTGCTTACCTTATTATCTAGGTAAATGACTATTGCCTTGTGTCAGGTGTTTCTTCAGAATGATTGTTTAGGTGGTCAGAGTCAAATTTATGCTGCCACCTAGTTGCCCTTAAAGTGCTGGATTAACCCATGCCTCCTCGCCCATTTTCTACCCCAATTCTACCACGACCTCACAGTTCCTGTGAATATTTTCTGTTTGAGGGTGACGAGTCAGAGGGAGGCGACTCCTTTTCTGGGTTTAGTGACTCAGATCAAAGTTTTATTGAGCCTGTGGCTGGTACCAGTGGTGTAACTGGGCGAGAAATTGTCGCGTCAGCAGCATCTCGCCCGGCCAAGCGCCACCGCATGGCACCACATGAGGGACCAAGACCCTCGTGTTCACGTGCATCCACCTCACGTGCATCCACCTCACGTGCACGTAGCCGCCGTGCTTCTCGCAGACGGTATTCAGCTCCTGGTCACCGGTATGCATCGCTTCCTCGCCGTCTTTCCTCTGCATCTCGCAGGACGCCTGGTGTACTTGAGTGGAGTGATGGTGACGATTTTATTCCTAATATTCCTCACTTTGACGATAAAGATGTAGGGATTACAAACCTTTTCCCTAATCAAGGTGAGGACATGGCTGAGATGGAATATTTTACAGCATTCTATGATGAACCACTCATGGAATACATTGTACACCAAACAAACCTGCATGCTGCTTACCTGATTGAGAGGGAAATCACAGAATTTTCACGACTGCAGCGTTGGAAAAATACCACAGTGGCGGAAATGTATGTGTTTTTGGCACTCTGTTTGTTGATGAAGCACTGTCACAAACATGCAATAAATGACTATTGGAGCAAGGACAAGACAATACCAACACCTTTATTCGGGAAATATATGTCACGAGACAGGTTTCAAATACTCCTCAGGTGTCTACATTTTGGAAGTGTTCAGGACCGAACACCTGATGATAGACTGTGGCGAGTGAGGCACTACATGAACGATGTTATTGGAAAATTCAGAGATTTTTACGTTCCAGCACAGAAGCTGGTGGTTGATGAATCTCTCATACTTTTCAAGGGACGTGTTCCATTCAAACAGTACATTCCCTCAAAACAAAACCGATTTGGCCCAAAATTTTTTGTTCTTTGTGATTGTGAGACAGGATACGTGTTACACATGATTCTGTACTCGGCTAGTGATGTAGACATTCCCGGTAACGACGAACATGGATTCTCGGAGAGTGTAGTGAAGACCATCATGGCTCCGTGGATGAACAAGGGACACATTTTATACACAGATAATTACTATACAAGTCCCTTGCTAGCTCGGTTCTTGCTAGAAAATAGAACCGGATTGGTTGGTACAGTAAAGCCACAATGAAGGGAAATGCCTGTGTTTGACAACGACATTGCAGTTGGCGAGTGTCAGAGAAGGAAAAGTGATAACATTCTGTCAGTTCGGTGGAAAGACAAAAGAGAGGTGAACTTGTTGACAACAATTCATGATGGAACAATGGTGAACAGTGGGAAAGTGAGCCATAAAACAAACGCACCACTATATAAGCCAGACTGTGTTTTAGACTATAATATCAACATGCGGTTGATTGATAAATCAGACATGATGATTGGCACTGCAGAGGGCAGGCTTATGTTTTGATTGGAGGTTAGTTTGGTAAGAAGCAGTGAGTGTTGCAGTTTGTGATGTCTGTAGGGCTCCAAGAGTTTTGTGCTTTTGAACATATGTTTGGGAGTAAGGCAAATCTGGCTGGATTGACTCGGTCTACAATGACTCCCAAGGCCCCTAAATGGTCCAGCAGGGATGCCATAGTCGTGCTGGCATCAGTGTCTTAAAACTGCTGACTGTGCAGTGAACCTGTGATTGCATGTTTGGATCACATACTGTACCTCTGGCAACAGCATTATAGCTTTCTCAGTAAGGAGATTTTTTCACAAGCTTAATAATTGTTATAATTTTTATTTATTTGGTCTCGGATCAGAACCAACAAGGTTAACTAATTTATTCACTGTCTTACATGCATTGATTGATTACTGAATACTTGAACAACAAATTACTTTATTTTATTTTTAAAGTACTGTATGTTCACGTGTGTTTGATGTTTACATTGTTGCAGGTGTTCTTGACAGCTGCATTGCACCAGCCAATAGTACAGCTACTTATGGAAGATGAATTGTTCCTTGATATAGACCCTTCAAAAGCTGCTGTTCGCTTTCCTGCCGAGGAACGTCTCAGAAGGTTTGGTAAAGAAGGAACTCCAGAATACAATGCTGCCTTGGCAAAGTATCGAGCATGGACTATTGCCAAGCTTGTCAAAATTGCTGACAGGTAAGGTTTGTAATTTTAGTATGACCTTGCTTATGTGAGCAAGTGTACATTTTGGTAGAGATTTGTGAAGTTTTATAAATAATTAAGGCACTTTATTAGATGTATTAGTACTTTAAACTGTGAATAGACTGTTGATGTATGTTACCAAACTATTTAACTAGCTCATCCTAGAATGAGTACTACTCGTAAGTACTGTAACTTGTTGGTGTTTGGAATTGTAAAAAATTTTGGACTTTGGTTCTTAAACCCATTATGTACATTTAACCTTTTCCACAACAACTCATGGATATGTGGTTTTATTGTAAATGAAACTGAACTAACCTTATAACTAAATGATTAAAAGTGGAATTATGCTTTATATGTTTGATCTACAGTTCCAAACTAAAGAAAAATATTATTGTTTAATGGAAGGTGTGCCATTTATTATTTTGTAATAGATTAGCAATTAGCAATCAAGTATGTGATTGCATAAAACTTTGCTATTCATTATTATAAAATTTCTTCCAGGTTCATGGAGAGTATTAAGGAGGCAATGAATTGCTTTCCACCTCAGTTGTCTTGGCTTGTCAGAATTCTTTATGATGTGCTATTAACAGCAAAGCGAGCAGACACCAGAGAAGTTAGCGCCATCTGTGTAGATCTGGTGTTTGCATTTTTCCTCTGCCCAGCTCTTGTCACACCAGAACCTCATGGAATCTGTGATGCACCAATCTCCCACATCTCAAGGTTTAATCTTATACAGGTAAAGTATGATCATCTTGACATTGATTTCAGATTTTTGACTGCATGAAATAGCTGAGACAAACTCATTCTGCCACTGAACAGAACACTTTGGACCTTAGTGGTGGTGTAAGCTGCTAATATTCTCATGCATTTTTAAATGCTGAGAATAAGTTTAAAGATGTTTAGACAACTTATTCCCAACCTTCAGAATTAGCTGGGTAAGGAAATCTGGAGTCTGTTGCAGTGTGTTTGTCGATAACTGCCAGATGGTTTTGATATAATATCCATTGTCAGGGACAGGGAGCCTGGACTAAGGCTTATCGAGATCGCCCCAGGCCAACTACTGACCCCCCCCAGGATGCAACCCACAACATTTATCAGACTCCTAGGTACTTATTTCCAGCTAGGTGAGCAGAGGGAGCAGGTGAATGGAAACATGCTTATCCATTTGTGCTGCCTGGGGACTGAACCCAGGTGCCTTGATTTTGAGTTGAAGCCATAGACTCTATAGGTCTATTGTACCATTTATGCTCAATAATTCGAATTATTTGTATATGGGGCTCACCCCCATTCACATTTATGGACATTAAAGTTAGTCGAATTTTTACCTAGAAAGTTAAAAAATGGAAAAAAATTTGAACTTAGGTTTTCGTCAGCCAGAAATCTCAACCCCAATATTTATTTGAGTTGCATTCAAAAACTCAAACTCGAATTTATTCTTACTGCCCTTAAATTTGGATTACCAAGCTTTTACAATATTTTACTTGCATAGTCTGGCCCAAGGCGATGTTTTCCGAGACCAGGTTTTCTTGCATTATTGTTTGCAGTGGGGAGATCAACTTAATCATCACAACTTAGATGATCATACAGCTGATTAAGACAGATATAACTTTTCTATTTTTCATTGTATTTATTTCAAACATTTTTTTCTTTGTGCTTGTATCCTATACTGGCTCCAAACATGGTAAAAATGTTGGCATCACTTTTAACATCTTACAGAGATGTCTCGCATCTTGGTTCAGATTCTCAATAATATAAATGGATTATTATACCATGTTATTGGTTGTAAATTTAAGTTAAACATCTAAAATACTTATTAGTGTGCATTACAGCAGCCCATCCTCCAAAAATGGGGAGGTAAATGTAATAGCACAAGTAAGTGCAATTATGTACTACTAAAGTATTCATAGCAGTAAGGAATTGTACTTATTTTCACTTAGTATTAAACCGTACTGTCAAATATATTGTGAATACAGGTATTTGAGTTTACCTGAAAAGCTGAATAGAAAACCATGACCTAACCTAACCTTCTTAATGTTTGAAGATAAGCATTTTATTGCTTCTTAATTACAATTAGTACTTAATCTATAGCTATATTGATATTACAGTTTTATAAAACTAATAACTAATAAAACAAAACTAAAATATATCAATAAATTGTAAAGTAACTCAGGATATTTTCAAATTTTGTATAAAATTTCTATTGTTTAATAAAACTCAAAAAGAAATTCCTAATATTTAAAACTTGTGTATAGCGAATTGAATTTGAAAACTTCATCCTAAAATTCTGAGTGTCTTAACAGAAAACGAGGAGAATAAATGGGGATGTAAATGTAACCGCCCCATAAGTGCAATTATGTACTATGTATGACAGTAAGTAAATGTACTTATTACACTTAGTATTAAACTGTACTGTCAATTTAGAGGATGGGTTGCATTATACATTATAACTTACAGTATTTATTTGTAATGAATTGTCTACTTAATGCCTCGTTAATCAACTTGCTCTTAAAAATTCTCACAGGTAGCTCAGATCCTCCAAGTGTTGGCAATGAGTCGCTGGGAAACTCCTGATCACAGACTCTCTGATCTCTACTCGCACTTTGAGAAGGAGGTAAAGTTATTTGTACTTTCTCTCCCCCCTCTTTCTCTGTCTCTTGTGCTTAATGTATCTATGGTAGTGTAAGTCATTTTAAAGTTATAGGAAGCTAGTTAATAGCTCCCCAGTCATGTGCATTACGTATGTTTATTCTTTGAATACTGGGTGTCAGCCATATTCCATTTTTCAACTTAATATAATGTAAATTGGAAATGAAGTTTCACATCCAAACTAGAAGGTGAAATTATAACAAAGTATGCCATAAAAGAGGAAACGTGAAGCAAATAAGGAATACTTTAGGTTTAAGGTAATATAATGAATACAAATATTGGCATAGGGCTAAAATGTTTTTAAACAGCCAGATTAGTTTATTGTCATTTAGTCAGAGAGAGCACGGAGCACTCACAAAAATACGCACTCTAAAAACATTGACAAACATGCATGGGGATATGTTTTTGTGTAGTATTACGTTTGATAAATTACCGATTATAATTCAGAAGTGTTGTTATCGGCAGGTAATATGTGGCGTCGTGGATGGAATTCTAGAGAGCGGAGGGTCTGAGGCGCCACCCCCAGGAGTCTCCTGCCTTAACAGCCCACTGAGTACTCTAGTCCGTTCGTCTTGCCTCATTCCAGAGCCTCGTCTACATGCACTTGTTGCTTTTATGTATACTGTAAGTGTATAGGAAGCTACAGTTAAAATATAGGGAGTCCTTGCTATTCATTGCCACTATCCATAGTTCATGTGCAAGTGGTTTGTAACTGTTGTATTTTTTAGGATTACATAATTTCATTATTAAAACATTTCCAGAACCCTATAATGAAGAGTGAAAAGTGTTCAGTAACTTTTGGTAGTTCCTCTAGTAAGGAAAATTAGGAAATGTATGTCTGAAAAAATAAAATTGTGAAATCATTTGGGTGATGGAGAATGGGTTGTTTGCTATACAGTTCAGTACAGTACAATATGTTGTTTGACTTAATAATACATTTTTAGAATGTATATTTGACAGTGAGAATTACTCATTATGATTTCACATTTACAGTATACTGTATATTAAAATTAAATAATAGTAACAACACAACTTGTCATGTCCTATATTGGGGTGGAGGATCATTATAAGATTTCATTATCAATATTTTAGATACTGAGTGAACTACCAGAAGATGATGAAATGCGCAAGGATCTTGAAACATCCATTGGCCGCCTCAAGCCGTCACATCTCTCACCTGCTCCACCAGCCACTTCGGCCTTATCTACCCCAAACACAGCTAAAAAAAATTTGTTAGGACGAGTGAAAAGTAACAGGTAACATTACATTTAATAGATTTGGTTCTATGATGATAGCTCTTTTTGCAATCTGGGAGTGTTGCTCATTTTCTTGTCCAGCGTGAATCACCCTTCTTTGCCCACTCACTGTGTGATATGTAAAGCATTTATATTCTCTTTACGTTAGAAAAATTGTTTTATAGGAAATTGGTCCCTCAGTGGCAGCTTGAATTAGTCATGCCACTGGCCTCCTTCTCTCCTTTTTATTAATAAAGTCATCTGAAAAAATACTTGTCACAGAAAGGGAAGGGGAACTATCAGGAGGAAAGCGCCAAGCCATTACAACTATATAGCATCTGGAAGGGGTCAGGATAAGGATTAGGGATGGGATGGGGGAAAGGAATGGTGCCCAGCCACTTGTGGACGGTCGGGGATTAACGCCGACCTGTATTATTTTATCATAAAATTACAGGGGTGGGTAAACAGAATATTTTACTGCGTACATTTATTCCTTATATCAAAGGATGCCTGCAAGGTACTAGGCTGCAGTTAGGGTGGTAAGTGGAATGCTTACACAAGCATTCCACAACAATTAAGCAAGGTGTATAACCCAACCCCCACACACGACATAAGGGTCCAGGATAGACCAAAATTTTTATGCCAGTCTTTTCTTTTATTTCATGTGTGGAGGGTTGAGAGATTTGTTTTCAGGCATGGTATTGTGACTTACTATCTGTAGAATATGTCGGTCTTGTCTACCAACTAGCCAGCTAAGCTGGTGGTTTGGTTGGTCTTTGAGGTACATATATTTAGCTCTATTGTACATGCTCATACTCTGGATGCTGTTGCAGGGTCAAGGCTAACAAGAGTCAGAGTGAGGGAAGTGGTGACTCTGATTCTCTTGGATCATTGCAAGAGTCCACAGTTAGCAGTTCCAGCCATCTACCAGGCCAGAGCAGCATAGATGAAGGGGATGTAATGCCGCCGCCATTAGACTATGACACAGTTTTGGTTATCTCGCTCAATACCTCTAGTCCTCCCGAGTGCCCTGGGCTGATGTCAGAAGAAAAAGTTCTTTCAACAGTGCAGGTAATTCATATTTCAAGCATTTAGGAGGCCTTTCTAATATTTAAAGTTGTATTAAACAGTGTTATCAATAATAATTAAAATTATGACAATTTTGAGTGACCATCAATGTCATCATGTACCAAGCCTTCCTACTCATTGTATTCGATGGAATTTGGTTTCAATTAATTGATGTAACATGTATGGTAGGGTACCCAAGCTATGTCTTCCATGTTAAAGGGCCCCCCCTGAGTCATTTTTTGAAGGTGGAACTATGACAGTGGTAAATTATTCATAATGATACGAGTTATGTAGGATGCTGGAGTCAACACCAGTTTAGGAATGGCAGCTCCGCTAGCTGATACAGTTGAAGGATGATGGCAGTGGCAAGATATTCCATAGTAAGACTTGGTGTTGACATTGATGTTTCAAGTAGAGATGGTTGTGGGAGAGTGACTGCTGTAACTTGGTCCTGATCCTACTGGCATTATATTTGTATGGCGTAGTATATACGGTACTACAAAACTACAGCAGCATATATCTCAAGAGAGTTGTGGTTAAGTTTATTAGAACACACCGATTGAAAAATAAATACTGTATTGGAATTAATAAATAATAAAACTGTGAACAATATTTTGGGAGCATAGTCCTTAGAAATGTATTTATATGAAAGTACAGTACATTAAGATGATATGAACATGTCATTAATGGTTAATGCTAATTAAGATTTAGTGATAATAAATAACTGCCAGTTTTAATATCAAATACACTCTTAGGATTCTCAATTTGTTTTTTCTTTCCACAGACAAAATCAACATCACGTGTGAGAATGAACGTAGAAGACGAAGGTGATGGTGGTGGAGGGGAGGCCACTATAGAAAAAAGGACACGATTTTCACTTTCCCATGATGAAGGCTCAATTGGCAACACCTCTGATAATTTAGAAGCGATTAGTGAGGCTGCAAGCAATCACAGTGTTGCGTCAAGCCTAGATGATGTTGAGCAGGTAGTGGTACATCACTAATAAATAACTTTTTTGCACGATTTTTCTAATAATTATGTTCCATACCATGCTTTTAATTTAAGGATTTTTACTGTAAAATATTGAACTTACCATGTTCAAAAAACTTGGTTTAGAACCAAGCTCAAATAACATGTTTATACTACAGTATTACTGTACTTGAGCAGCATGGTTGAGATTGAGAGCTACTGAATAGCATTTAAGAAAAAGAAATAAGATGGGAAACGTGATGACTTCTCCAGTCACCTCTTATTTCACACAACCAAACTTCCAACTAATATACGTAAACAGTACCTTTTGCATTCTTCTGCAAGAAGACCTGTATCTTCTTCATGCATCAAATTAGATAAGCTATTAATTCTTATCATACACTAATTTAAAACTCTTTTTCTAGTACAGCATTCCCACCTTGACTGCCCTCTTGACTCAATTCATATACTGTATACATTGAACAACCATATGGACTTTGCATAACCCTGTCATAGTCCTATATTAACATAGAACCATTCACTTTATTATAACATTAGCTCTTTGCATGATTTACTTCTATGTAAAGCTCTTTGCAGCAAGTTATATCATTCTACCAACTCCCTCTATTCACTTTTTCTTGTGTACTGCTTAATCAATGGGCCTAGTACCTGACCAAGTGCCTAAATACTTGCCACAATAAGAGCATTTTAATTTTCATTCTTGCAAGTCCTTAACTGCTCTCTCCACTTGCTGTTCCAGTTGTAGCCTACTCCACTACAGAATCTACCTTGGCCATCACCGACTAATTTCTCATCTCCTCCTACTTTGAATTCATTCACTGGTTAATATTTTCCTATGGTTATCTCTAATATTTCCATTGCATTTCCCTCTAGTCTCCGTTATAGAATATGTACTGGAACTTCTTTCCCAAATAGCGTTTAGGTTATCCTATAAATGTTGATGAATTGGACTTCCAAACATCTCATTTAGTTACCTTTCCTTCTGCGTGTTTGAGCTTATTGCATCAGTGTTGGGATAAAGATCAGTGATATGACAAGATGAGGAATGTGAAGAACTTCCTCAGCTTACATTTGAGTATTGAGTGTACTCTTGTGGTGTAGTCATGTAGAGCAAATGGATGAGGATAAAGCAATGAATAATTTGTATTTGAATTTGAGAGTAATAGAAAAAGGCAGATATGGTGAGTAAGAGACAATTTGGTGTACTCGTGTACAATGCATTGGTAGTGGTAATTAACACAAACAGAAGTAGTTTGTTGGGAGGGAATGATGCACATTTTGTTTGTGGCAATTTAAGTTGAATATATTCAACATGGCCAATAATGAAATAACATACTGCTGTGGACAGACTGTATTGTTATGGTGTTAGCAGTAGCAGCTGAGTATTGTTCCGTAGCTACTGCTAGCTACAGAACAATACTTTACGAAAAGAAGTACAGTGCGTTACTGTTATTTGCCATTTTTAATAACTATTTGATTTGTCTTAACATATTCCCTTGTGTTATGCTTTTATAGATTATTGCTTTGATTCTAATTATTTTATCCCTTATCTTTCTTGTAATAATTTTCCGTCCTTTTGAGTTATGAGCCATTGCCCTCTATCCAGGTGGTATATGAAGTATTGTTCCTAATTATAATGTGATTATGAGTTTTGGTATTTTATTTGATACAATGTAGGTCAGGATTTTCATATGCCTATTTTGTTTTCTTCCTTTTCTTAGGAGGATCAACCTGATAACTTGTCAGACATGGTGTCGGCAAATGTGTCAGGCCGGGGAACTCCCAATGTGTCAGGCCGTGACACTCCCTCATCACAGGTAACAGAGGGTGAAGAAGCAGGCCTGAGAAGTGGAGAAGAAAACCAGCCCCCTCCACCTAATGTCCCCGTTACAGTTCCCAAACCAGCAAGAGCAGATATTGAGGAAAAATTTGGACGTTTTGAAATCAAACCTCTAATAGGTGGTGATGAAACTATATCTTTAGTGTCTGACACTTGGAGCACTGATGTCCTAGCTAGTGACTCTGAAACTATTGAAGCTGCAGACAGAGCAGACCGTGGGGACCAGTTTCATGATCAGCTATTAAATCGACATTTAGCAGAATTAGATAGAATGCAAGGAGATTACCTGAGTGGAGATGCAACTGGAGAAACTTTTGAAACTGCCTCGGAAGCTTGGAGCACAGATGTTTTAGCCTCAGACTCTGAGAGAATGACAGAATTTGACACCGATGATGCACAGAGTGTTGCCCGGTCAGATGACACGGGCCGATCAGAAGTTGAAGTGGAGCTGGGTGGAAGCGACTTGCTGAGACGTGAGACTCTACACCAGGAAGATATTGTTACACCTCGTGCACATGGGTCTCGTTCTCCAGTTGATGCAACATTGAGTGGGGCCATGGGAGGAAGCAGCAGTGGAGGAATACTGAAGCCAATGCCTGTTTTGCCTTCTTCATTAACTACAGATTCTGGTAACAGCATTCCTAGTGGTATTCTAAAACCCATTCCAGTATTGCAACATAGAAGTGGCAGACCAGCAACTCCCCCTCGAGTAGAATTTCAACCTATCCATCCTGCTGAAGAAGACCAGTGTCTTATGGACAGATTGCCATCTGACAGAGAAGAGGAAGAGTTGCCACAAGAAGAACAAGAAATTGCATCTGCCACACAATCTTTAGGGCGTTTAAGCCTGAATCTTTCGACACTCCCCAATAATGGCATTGTATCAGGTGACCAACATCTTTTGCTTAATACTTTTATTGGTGATGGTAGTAGGGGAAGATCCAATGCTCCTCTTATGGATTTGGGTAATAATAGTGAAGGGGGACACATTGTTGTGCATCCTCATCATAAACTTGTGTCCAGTGATCGTGGCTCAGGAGAGGACAGCAGCTTACATTTGAGTACAACTAGCTTAGCATCTTCCAGCAGTTCTGGATCTGACGTAGTCGGAGGCTCTGGCAAGCTTCGCTCTACCTCTAATGCTAGTTCTGGACCCACAACAGACTCAATTGATACCCCAGAGCCAAGTGCACCAGCTATCAGTATGGCAGCCACTGGAGCAATACCAAAAAGTATTAGTTTTGATAAAACGGCTGAAAGAGGGGATCGTGATGCTATTGATGGTGACGCAAAACATAAGCGAGGATTTTTCAAAAATTTTAAGCTCCCTGGTTTTAAGGGCCGCCGTAAACCTGGAAGTAGGCCTGGTGATGATACAGCATATATACGTTCAGGACTTAATAGCCAAGATTTGAATATAAGACGAGCTTTGTCTGAAGAAAATCGGCCTCCTACAATTGAAGAAACAAGCGATGATATTCTGGCAAAATACAGAAATAAGAAACCAGAAATGGATACTTCAGAAACAGATGGCATGGTCTCTACGCAACATAATATGTAAGTAAATAAAAACTAAATCGGAACATAATTTAATAATTACATGCTGCACGTTGTAGTAAGAAAAATATGCAAATTCTATTCAGTATTTATGTAAAATTTTCAAGCTAAGAGGCCTTTTATGTATAATCATATAACACTGGAGTATGTACTATACTGCATGTATTTCTTGGCTTTTTCTGAGGTAAGGCCCCCCTCGGATGTTCCTGTGGTCCATCTAAGACTCTCATCACCTGCAGAGCTCTCAAGATTTTTATCCCCATCACAACAAGAATCTTTGCAAGTGCTTCTGTCACATAACTTGCTTACACATAAGCTCTACTTGCTTATTATGATGTTGCTTTGTAGTTGAGAGCACATGTACTGTGTATTTTATGCTTATGGACCTATATTAATTGGCAAGGGCTTTAAGCCTCCAATCTTTTGGGAGAGTGACATTGGGGCCCTAGTCCTTAATATTTGTGAGTTTGCTCCAGAGGCTTACACTTCTCTACTTGTCAGTGGCCTCTACCTCTATCATTTTAGCGTCCATCTTCTTACCATTCTACACTAGATGTAGCCCCAAAACCATCTTGACTTCAGACTGTGCAAGTGCCAGTGGAGTCTGGTTTTGTAGCTGATACTATGGTATCCACTTTCCCTGAAGTTTTGCCCAGAGCTTTCCACATGTATATTTCTGGTTGGAGGAAGGAACCTGTTTTTTCCTTCACATGAAGCATAACGTTCTCATTGATGGGTCCTCCAACTTATCACAGATTTGGGTTGGATGCAACTCCAGGTATGGTTTCCTTGGTTGGTCAGAGGCTGTCCTTGAGTAGGCTTTACACGGGGCCCATTTAACCCTTCATGGGCACTAGTGTCCAGTCTGGATGGCATATCTCTCAAAATGGGATGTTTCTATCCCCTTGCTTAAAGTTCAGTCCAAGTAGGGCTTTGAAAGGATATTGAGTGTGGGTTTACCTTGTGGTCACTCCAGGATGCATTACATTTTCCTTCAGTGTATCTTTAACACCAGTGCGGCCGAGTAATGATGTTTGAAAAAGATCTGGGCCGTGTTTGTTTGCAATGTCATCTGTCCTGACTAGCATGAACACTGAAAGGGACATTTAGGGAGCATCTGGGTGTCATGCTCAGAAAAAATCTTGCCCTATTTATTTAAAGCCAGATTTTTCTAATGTGCTAGTTCACCAATTAAAACAACTATGAATTCACTTTGTTTATTACAGTAAGAAGCAATTAGTTTGCAAATTTTTTCTACAGATGCTGAAGTATTTAATATGTAGATATTGCATTACTGTACCAACCATCTTAACTAATAATTAACTCCACAGACAAGTTAATGAAATAGCAAAGACTGAGGAGGACGAAAGACTGTTCATAGACCCAAGCAGTATTGAAACGAGTTACGCCTTTGCTGATGCCAAAAGAAAGTTGCGACTAGTATTGAGCATTGCAGACTTCTCCATGTCTCCATACTTACCAGAGTTTGGGGCTCCAACAGGAACAGAGTATGTATGAGCTTTAATACCATTCTAATGTATATGTGGGATTACTGGAATCATAGTAAATTTTGCACTATGATTATTGGAATCATAGCAGTGATATTTCAAGGTATGTTTTGTTTTTTGTCCATGTTTAATTTTGTTTAAATAATTTTGTTGGGATCAGGAAGTCTGTTTTTTCTCAATATACACAAGTATATTGAGAAGAATATTCATGGGGTCAGATTAATAAGCAGTGCTGTGCAAAATTAGGATAAGCCAGGGACTTTGTTGACAAATGTGCATGATATTGCCAGTAGATGGAGACAATTTTTATAGGTAAACAGTGTGTGATTTGTTAATTTGATAAATCTTTGTAGTAAACTAGAGTACTGTACATTTATTACTAATTTTTTAAGGTTTTAAAAATATTTATGAAAGGCCTCTAAACATTTGCTCATTTAGTTCCAGCTTAGATAATGATGTGGTGACATGGTTACGGTGTCAGTTGGCTGAAGCAACTAACCTTCACGACCGTTCCCTCGTGGCTCAGTTACATGAAACCTTGCGCTGTGTTCAACTCTTTGATTCTCAGGTAATTGAGAGCTGATACTGTGTAACATGTGGAGGAAATAGGTACTTATACTATGTAGTATTGAGAGAATGGGGGCTGATAATATGGAGAGAATGTGCTCTGATATTAACATAATGATTACCTGTAGTTTATCTGCAGTTGGTTTCAAGAGTTCTTTACTCCTCCAAGCCTGGCCAGGGGCTAGGCCTGCCTGATAACTTGATCTGTAAGGATGTTATAAGGTTGACAGAGATCATCATGTCCCCTTTCACCCGAGGCCGGCTTCCTTCAAGACCAAGCAGAAGGAAGAGTGATAATTATTAAATACAACAATTATTATAATAATAATATAATTAATTAATTATCACTATTCCTTCTGCTTGGTCTTGAAGGAAGCCGGCCTCGGGTGAAAGGGGGCTGTGACGATCTCTGTCTGGAACCCGTGGATGTGGCTTGGGATGTCCGCTTCCTGGGGCTTGTGTGGCCCAGGCTCTGCTTCAGGAAGCTGGGGTTTGTTCTTGCCCTTGATGGGGGTGGTTCTTCTCCGGCCCCGGCCACGGCAGTCTCCAGGTTTGGAGTCCCTGTGCCTTCTTTCACCAACTTTGAGGTCAACTCCAGAGCTCACAGTTCACAGTTTCTGTGATGGCGCTGGAACCAATCCTATTGGCATTTGCCTTTCCATTGGAGACTTGGGGCACCGTGGAGAGGGGAGACCTGCTGCTTGGGTAACAGCTTCTCCTCCATATCAACCTACCTTGGCTTTGTGCCCTGGAGAAGCCACTCCAGACCAACAACCAGAGTGCAACTCCATAGTCTCCTGAGACCGATACATGCCTACTACTTAAGGTTGTTGCTCACAGCATCTATCAGGTCTACGTTTCTATTAAATCCAACTGATTTGATATTTCCTGCAGGAACTTGTCCAATTGCCTCTTGTACCTTATCTCCTCACTGGATCTGTTCTGTATTCCCTATCTTATCTTCTGCTCCCAGTTATGTTATTGTGCATACATGAGATCTGATCTTTGAGTATCTTTATATTATGTGATCTCTTGTCTCATTTCCAGAGTACATTTAAAATGTTTTTAGAAAGTCCCAGTAGTTCAGGCATTTTACTGTGTATGAGTGCTTCATATTTATTTTGTATTTTTATGTATACACAAAAAGGTACATTGGGTTGTCAGAGTACATAACATTGGTGTTTGAGAGTTACATTCTTGCAAAGCCACTAACACACATTGCATTCTATTTATTGAATTTCTTTCAGATATCTCTTCTGGTAGAAGGTAAAGTGAGTACCGAGCAGTACTCAAGGTGAGAAAGCACAAATGGTTAGGAAAAGGAGAAGCATGGTAATGGTTTCTCTTGATTTTAAAGGATTTCAAGGTATTTCTATTTGGGTGGCTTGTGAGGTTGTGTGAGGAGTGAGGAGTGGCCGGCGAGGGCACCCAGGGTAGTCTAGGCTACCACTTGGTGGTGAGCATGTGACTGCAACCACCACTGTAGTCACAACCATTGCTGCATCTACAACTACATCACCACTACAACCTCAACGAGTACTACAGACATGAGCACAAATACCATTACAATCACTAAAAACTGCAAGCACTGCTACAACCAGTACCATAATCACAATCACCAGACACAGCCATTATCACAACTATAGCTGCATCTTTATAAGCCTCCAATCTAACCACAACTATAATTAAAACAATATACTATACTACAAAAGCCACTACAACCACCACAATGCTAGACAATCACAACCACCTACAACTAGACATACCTACAATAGCTGATGCAACCACCGTTATAATAAAAACTGAAACTATAACCCCCAGTATGTTCTGTGACCTCATTATTTTTCATATTTTTTAATTGATACTGTATCCTGTAATCATTGAACCCAATACACATTACTGTATACAAACTATTCTTTATAATGGAAGAAATTTCCAACAGGATATCCCATTAACTTTTTCGATTGCTTCTATGCAATTACTACATGTCTAGTTATATTTGTAGATAGTGGCTACGTGATAGTAAATCACAGTAATATAGGTGAAAAACTAGACACCCAACTCCCACATACAAGAAGACTGGAAATGACAACGTTTCGGTCCATTCTGGACAAGTTGTGTGACGAGCCAGAACAGACTGAAACGTTGTCACTTCCATTCTGTTTGTATGTGTGGATTAGATGTCTAATAATTTTTAATGGCTATCTTCCTGTATCACTAATTTATAATTTGTGCTGTCAATTTCAGGGTCGTGAACATCTCGTTAGAAGTTTGGTTGAGGACTATAGGAGCAGATCTCCTTATGTTGCTTATCTTGTCCGTAGTAGACAAGGCTTACTTACAACTATTGCACACCTAGAAAAGTGAGTTGAATTAGATTAAATTTCAATGTTTCCAAATTTATTCAGATTAATTGTGACATCCTTTATCCAATCCAAATGAATAATCCAAATTTTATCCTTTTATATATTTGATTAATATTGTATTTTTTGTGCAATTGATAGAAATGTTTATTTTTTTGCCTATAAGAAAGTCAAGCTTATCTGTCAAATTAAAACTTTACTAAACTAAATAAATTTCAGACTTTTATCAAGAATAAATGCTGATGGGGCCGTTGTGATGTCATCCATTGTTGGGGTTTGTGTTCGAATGTTCCTTGAGCGGCGAGAACAGAACCTCAGTCGCTTCACTCATGACTTCACTGTGCTCACTGTTCCCGATGAGAAAGTACAACTTGTGGAAAATTTCTTGACTCAACTTTTTTCCGAGCTTGAACGGGATCCAATGTGGATAAGTAAGTTTGTTGTTAATGTATTTAAGAATATGGTTTAATCAATTATGATCCATTGGTTAAATTCACATTACATTTACTTGCTAAACAACATGTTTGTTAGTTGCATAATTTTAAATGAAAATTGAAAATTTGTTTTTTAATTAACAAGTGTAATTTACTACATGAAATATATATAAGTGAGGGAAATTAACTCATAGTAACTAAGATTTGATAAACAAACAGTACATATTCAAGAACTTTGGCAACAATTGGAGGAATTGTATAATTCAACCCTCTTATTTGACTTTCTAAAATCTGACAGAACATTGCAGTCAAATCAGACTTTTCGAACAATACACAACCTAGGCACATACCCAGTGCACATTTTGATACTAAGCAACATTAATAACAAATATATAATTGGCTCTAAACAAGATTTATCATAGCAGTAATTCAGAATTTCAGCTGCCAGGGCTGACTAATAACTTGTATTCACTTGCAAGAATTTATTTATCTCATAGCTGACTGATGTTGCATTGAATGTTGTTCACAATGCTCTCCCAGTTTTATTATGAAAATTCAGCACATTTGTAACTGATAACACAGTCCATTTAACTGAATGCTGGTCACTGCCTGCACTCAGTTGAACTGGAACTAGTAACCTGATATGTGACTAGGCTTGAGGTAGGGACCCTTGTGTTTTTGTCTGTGCTTCTGTCTGGTGGCGAATGGGAAGAACAGTAAGATGATACATTTGTTAGTTTGTAAATGTGCTCTTTGGAATTCCTTGCGATAACAAATAGCACATGGAAAGATTTACTTCTTTTTCAGAAAATGAACCTTCTAGGTTCATCTCATTCTTGGCAGGATGAGAATTCTCCATTGTCTACTAAACAATATATGCCCTTCTAGAGACATTTGAAAGATGCTGTCTGTTCTGATGTAGTGTGTTGAAGTGCCCTTATTTATTTATTATTAACATCTTTATTGACAAAAATTACAGTTTTGCCTGGTCTGTGGAATTGAATTAGGTCTTATTAGAGTGAGGAGAATGCTGGTATTCACTGTCACTCAGGACAGAGGATCATACACATGACAATAGGTCTAAACTGTAGGCTGAAGTACATATATATCATGGTTATTATCAACTACATTAGACTGTGTATACGTTTCAATGTACGAATATGTAAATACAATTGTCTATTGTACGCTGCCACACAAGGGCAGGGATAAGTTCATAAGAGCTGCAGCTTAAAAATAATATAAAATTGTTCTTCATTCTTTAAAATGGACAAGCAAATTTTGGATAAATTGTTAGGATGCCATCCAGAACACCTGAGTCAATGAAATAGTTACACAGTTGGTGGTGCAATAGGCCAGGAGGTCTAAAATCTTTTATGGTTTCACATTCAACAATATAGTGTTCCAGTGAATGCATTAAAGGTTTGCCCTTACTGTTCCAGATCCAACCTGGAAGGACCAATAGAATCTTTCCTTAGGAAGCAGCCAAGTGCTTGGGCTCAGACATAGTCTCAACTTAAACAACAAGTATATTTGATCCGAGTAAAAGATGACCTAGTGAACTAGGAGTCAACTGTATTACTAATCATGTTCTTATTTACCAAAGGTTGTTCATTCTTTTGTGGTCACTATCTTCGGTACACTTACACCACGTATGCCTATTATAAACATCAAGCATCCCTAGATTACTCATTAATTATCATTTTGTAATTTACTGATGTCATTTTTGTATTGATGGATCGTCAGCCTTGTCAAAATGCACCGTTCCATGTTAAAATGACCAGTTCATTGCTAAAATATTAAACTTTTAAGTAATCAAAATATCATATAGTTTACAAATATGAAACATTTTGTTATGTAGAGTGAAAGTTTTAAGAATCTATTAAATTTAGCCTTTTAAATTTTCTCATTCTACTATACCAGCTTTTGTGAACCCAGCAGTAAGCTTTAGACCTTACATTGTAGAGCATTCATATTAGCTTGGAATGGGAAATTTGGCACTGGTAATATAATCTTTCTTGAAGTAATACAACAAATATTTTATCTCCACAAGGTAGCACAAATGAACAGTTGCATGCAGCTCAGTTAGCACTGGAGCGGGTAGTAATGTCCCACATCTACATCCATGCTCTCTATCCCAATGGTGATGGAGATGTATCTAGGGACCAGTAAGTTTGTCTTGTCTTAATGACATGTTTTTTTATTGTATTCACAAACAGCTGAACAGCTGTAGTATCACCTTTTCCTCAGCAATTTCCACCGGTCTCAATTGTCTGAGCCTTATCTTTCTCAGTTTAATTAAATTAATAATGTATCCCAGAGTCTTCAGCAGTTTGTTGATGCGCCTCTGTGCATTTAATGTCAAAATATTGAAATATTACTTGTTAATATGTGCTTAAACTTGGGTACACCACCTTGTAGTGTATTGTAATGGTTGTACTTACCTTACCCAATAAGTAGATATAAGTATAATCCTACATTGTGGTGCTCATGACAAAATATAGTTCACAAAATTTATGGAAAAAATTGCATTTGGCAATTTGAGCACAGGAGGTAATTGCAGGTAGTGATTGGAGATCTTTAAGGGTTATGAACTGGTTAGTTTGTATTATACAGCATCAAATAGGTCATAAAATAAGTGTTTATCCATTTTTTTTAGTCAAGGTAATACACAAATTATAGTAGATGGCACTCTTGACATTGGTCAAATATTAATATGCATAGCCTATCTATCAGTCTGTGGCGAGCAAGATCTGGCTCCTGTGCCCTGCCTCCTAGCTATTAGTACTTGGTTTAAATTTCCAACACTCAAGTTCACTGTCACACTTGTTCTTGAAACAGTAGATAGAAATAGGTTTGAGCAGTCATTGTTCATTATGAACAAAAGTTCATATAACAATACATACTCCATTAGATACTTATGCTAGTACAGTACCTGAAGACTATTGAAATTATACGCCATTGATCTACAGGGTGTTACACGAGCACATGAAGAAACTAGCAGCTGTGATCACTCCAACCCATAAGGATCTCAGGATACCTAAGGTCAGTTTATTGAAAACTATTTTGTCTTTCTGGGTTGGCAACACTGGGTAGTTTCCCTCAGTTTACCACACTGTAGTGTACATGCCAGCAGTTAAGACACAAAGCTCCCAGTAGCAAACACAAGCATGCCAGAGACAAACTCCAATTTTGTATGCCCCCTCATTGTGGCTGGGAAGCTTTTGGGGATCGGAGAATAATCCACTACTGAGGTTAATCACTGAGAAAGGAAACTCTTTAAACACTCGACTACTATGAGAGTAGTTAGGGTATCTCCAATTGCCAAACAATTTTCTGAACTAGTTACAATAATCCCAACCAAAAATTTCAAAATGCCCAACAAAAAATGGCATACGAAAATAATAACAATAAATAACTAGAGCATAAAAAACATGTTAAGAGAGTTACCATTCATACCTAACATTTTCTATGGGCTGATTTCACTGAGCAAAATTATAATTTCAGCATGTTATATGAAGGGCAACAACCAAGAGATTAGGTATGAAGAGAGATTAAAACACATCTATCACATTTCTCATACCCAAACCTCAAAATCTCATTTTGAAAGGAAAAAAAAAGAGAGCCCATATTTTACTGAACGTAAACCTCTACAACTGGAAATATGACCCATAGAATTTGGTGTTAAATATGCTCAGTGGCTTCTTAAGGCTCCAACTACTGTATTTCTTGTAATATTGCCTCCATCTGTGAACTCAATCTCAACATCTTAAGCAAATCCACACATCCCCCATTTCTTGTTCATCGAATTGGGTGAGTAAATCCCACATGGAAAGTGTGTGTTTCAACCAAAGATTTACCGAATCAAGGTTTGTTGGACCTAGTTCCACTGTACAGTACTGTATTGTGAAGTGTTCTTACCAACACTGCATGTCACTTTGCTTTGATGCTATTCAATTTGTAAAACCCATTACTCTTTAGCTTTAGAGAAGATGACTTTGAATAAGCAGGTTTATAAAGCTGCTTGTTAAAAATAGTTTGCCTTCATTAAAAGTAGCAATCTGTTGCTACAAAATAACGATGCAATTTATAGCTTTTCATTTTGTGTCGATTCTCTAACAGCTGTACCAGTATGAGTGTCCTTGGCCAAGTGCTCAGGCTGAGATTGTGTGCATCAGTGCATACAAGACACCGGGTGATAAATTGCAGTGTGTTGTGAGAGCCTCTCAAACCATTATGAATCTGCTTTCCCTTGCACATGACCAATCAGTTCCTGCAGCAGATGACTTCATGCCTGTCCTAGTCTATGTGCTCATTAAGGTAAGTTTAAGTTTCTTGCATTAATATAATTATAAAAAATGTTTTTCATAAGTTGGTTAGCATTACATAGGCATTATGCACTTTGTCATTTATATAATCCTGTGGTAACATTGCTTGTAACAGTCACTCTGGTGACATTGCTTGTAACAGTCACATCATGGTTCCTTGCATGATTGAGGTATAAGTCAAATGCAGCCAGGGAATAAATAATGAAGGCACGTTACTACTTGTCTAGAAGCCTCTTAATATTTTGATGGGGAAATGAGTTCCTATCACATCAGGAGCCATAGATAGGAAGCTCGCTTACTGACCATGCCTCATACATCAGGCTGATGGTAGCCGAGGTGTCAAATAGCAGTTCCAACTAATTCAGGCTATGCAAGAGCAGGAGCTGGGACTTCAGCAGTTTGATAAGAGAGACAAATTCTCATAGTATTTCCTATACTGTACTTGATTTAAGGCTAGCCAACAAAGCTGGATAGCAAGGCTAGAACAAGCCACTTGTCTAGATATGCCAAGACTGGAATGTCAGTTAACAGAAGCCCACATACACCACCCTGGTAGTGAGCATGATGAAGCTCGTACAACATTCCCTTGTACAACATAAAGAAAATCTGAACACAGTAGAGCAAGGAAGGAACTACTTTCCGTGCCTGACCGAGGCTCTGGGAAGATGAGGAGGCCAAACACTAAGCCAGACACATGGATTTCACTCTCCTTATGAATTGGCTTTTATAACAGGCCAAAGGCAGACATGAAGATAGCAAGTAACGCCCAACCTCCTCCTATGGCTCCCCGACCTTCCCTAGAAAGGACAGCTTCTGCCCATCTAAAGAATGGTGTATGGCAAGAACAATATTACAGTCCAGATAATACAGGGCTAGTGTAAATAATTAAGTGGCAAATGAAGTCCTTCACAGAAAACTTTCAGCCATCCACTGCGAGCAAAACATGTTCTCAGGGAAGATAAAGGAAATCCATTCTTTTTTAATTTGTATTTTTATGCACAATATTAAATGTATATTTCTTCCATAAGGTTTTGATGTCTCAATTATGTCGTTTAATTAATTATGATGCCACCTGCTGGTGCACTGAGACTTCCATTATAGCAGGACTTTTAATGATCTTTTAATCTTTCTGTATTTGTGCACCGAGGTAATGTACTGTTTGTGTGTAATTACCTAAGTGTAGTTACAGGATGAGAGCTATGCTCATAATATTTTATTTATTTTATATAAACCTAAAAGGGGTACCACCTCTGGTGCAAGTGTAGGAACCCATAGCCTCGGAGAAGAAAATAAAGAGTACTCAGGGAAGACCTTGTAGATCCTCACTGAACACTTGACATTTTCTTCTCCTGCCACCCCTATTCTTTTAGAGTGTGTGTGTATATATATATCTAACTTTATTTTAAAATTTTACTACACAAAAAGGGTTACAACATTGGTTACATGCAAGGTACAAGACTACTTGTCACAAGTTGTATAGCTCTTCCAGCTCCTCAGATGGCGGGCAGGAACCATGGATGCAGTGAGCATTTCCTCTCTACATCGCCTATACAGTATATAATAAATAAAATATTAGCAAAAATAGCCGAACACAGATTTGTGCAATTTTTCTAAATAAACTTTGAGAAAATACTCTTTTATTATAGTAATTTTTTCTTTTTACACTCATTAGCTACAAAAGTTGGTTAAGCAGAATTGACTTGTATATTTGGATATACAAATAGCTAATCCAGGTAATTCAATAACAAATCTTGTTCAACACATATAGGTTGAATTCCAGACTTATGTTGAACCAAATGAGTTTTACTGTTTTAACTAATAAAAATCTAATTCTTTTGACCAAAAGTTTCTAAAGTCATTAAGGTCTATTGATAATTCAGAGGTTTGGATGCAGCAGGCAGGGTTTGGTCAAAATTAATCCAGGAAATGAGGACTCTGGAGTATAGTTATGTATCTTCGTATGTTACAGTATGACATATGCACTTGTATTCATTGCATCATGTATATCATCACCTCAATGATACTGAATGAAGGATTGTCTTGTTTAGATTGTGGTCTTGTGTGTGTAATTTCATGAGCACTGAATTGACTTTCATAACAGGCCAACCCGCCAGCACTTCTCTCCACGGTGCAATACGTGAATCTCTTCTTTGAGAAGAGGCTCAAGGGAGAGGACCAGTACTGGTGGACTCAGTTTTGTGCAGCTATCGAATTCATCAAGACTATGGACTATATGCTATGACAAGCTGATTATATGTCCGTGCTGGGACATTGTATGTGCCATTATTGACATCAATTTTGGGCTAAAGTCTATATACAATGGGGGTCAGGTGATGTGCATAAATTATTTTTTATTTAAACCATGATAGCTCATTTTTAAAGGCTGTGTGAGGATAGCCGATGAGATGCTGCACAAATCTCGGTAGTTCTCAAAAAATTGAATGAGAATTTGGTTGTGTCAAATAATAAATAATTCAACATTGATCAATATCTTTCTCATCATGCAACATGTGTGAATGTGAATGAGTGCATGTCTGTAAAGCAAACCAAACATTTGAATGTGTTCTCTTTTCTAAGAGAGTTAATTTATGTTGCATTTGTTGGATGTCTTTGGCAAATTGATTTGATAATAATTTGAAGAATATTGTTACCATAAAAAATTGCACATTAGTCGATCAAGTCTGTATGCTATGAATGGGGCAAGATTTGATGATGATAATGATGTTGAATTAGAGCAGTTTTCTATATATATTTATACTGTATTATAGTTTTGAATCATATTTAAATAGTTTTGCTATAGACATGATGTCCTTCACTTACAGAACTCTTATAAAATCATTCATATATATCTGGTAATGTTCTCTCTCCTACTGTACATCAAGACAGCTTTTACTGAATCTCTTCCTGACTTAATGGTTCTGCAGTTCATGTTAGTTTCTATCTTCCTTGCTGGTCCATATTACTGGTTAATACAGTATAGGGGCAGTAGTAGAATACTGTTAAAGCTTTCGACTCCCAGCCCAAGAGGTGTAGGTGCAACTAGGCAGGGAGCACTATTGCTGGGACATGTCATGAACTAGCAACTCCATGGGGTTGAGGAACCATGCTAAATTATCCTTTTGTCCCGGGTGGTTTGCCACGTTGTAAACATTTGAGAGACGGCATATGCGTAAGTGAACGTTAATATTTTAAAGGTAGTAATAACTAAGTCATCTACAAGTTGAAATGGTTGTGCACTGCTGATGGTTGTAGAAATAATGTGTAGAGATTTCTTTAAGGTCTATCTGACTTGTAGAGGATTTATATAATATCACTAACCTTATATTTGTCTGTGTTTTAAGTAGCTTGATCAGGAATCTGATCATGTAGGAATCTGCAAATATTTTTAGAGGAATTGTACTTGTGCTGTATAATTTGAATGTACGAGAGTCGTGTCCTATCCTTTGTGCATGGCTTAATGGTAATTACCGACACTGACAGTTTAACTAAATAAGGGTGTTCATGTTTTAACCCCTAAAATATTGAGAGCTCTTGTGCACATGGTTATTGTACAATGTTATTTTTTTATCACTTCTATAATATGACAAAAATGCTCATAAGAGGACCAGTGTACTATTTCTGTGGCTGTCAAGCATTTATTTTTGTAGTGCTGATCACCAAAGATGAAAACTTTTAACAGCTCATCAAAAAAAAAAAAAGTTTCCTCATGGCCATTTTCTATGTGGTACACTTAGCTCGGACATTATTATTCAATATAATGACACTAATTTTGTTAATAATTCACATCATTTATATTTTCAGTTAGTATATATTTCTTTTTCATTTTGGGGTGAATTTAGTTTTGTAATCTGAAATGATATACAGTACTGTATGGTAGAATAATACTGGTCTCTTGTGAAGTTAATTCAAAATTATCAGACAAGATTGTCTGTTGTTTTCATGTAACGCATAGTGACCTTGCAGGTGCTGACGCCTTCATTGTGCATGCTCGTCTATTATCTGAAAACTGTTCTTCCAAAGAAGCTTGAGTTGCATCTACTCATTAACTGTATAATAATATCCATATCAAACCAAAAAATTTCAATACTTTCTGTGCCTCGTCTTTATCAAATATATTGATCACCACTGTAGACATTTTGAATGTGATAATGATTCTCACAGTACAGAAAATTTAGTATTAGGAGCTATATTCTATAATGATTCCCACACAATAGTACTGTAATTATAGAGTTCTATAGTAGTATGATTCTAACAAAGCTATAATTATAGTGTGTTAGGAGTGTCATTGTAGAAGCTGCATGTGTTGCAAATAATGCCTGATGTAAGAATTTGGTAATTGTTCTTGCATCGTTAGATTTGTTCATTTCATAATAACCTCATATATTAACACAAATATTTCCGAGGGCATCCAAGATGTACCTTTTCAAATGTTCAATATGTAGCAGAGCTATTACTTCACTTTTTAACATAAAAATGTTAAGTATGCTGTACTAAAATGAATGAAGAAAACCAAAGCGCAGTTTGGGTGTTGGTGGAAGGGCTTGCTATAATCTTCCTTTAGGAATGGTCTATGTATTGTTTGTGATGCTGCTCAAGTCTCATTCACACTTTCCTTAACAATTTGGGGCCATAATTTGGAAGGCCTTAAGAATTTTATTTTGTGTATATTTTAGGTAAATCTAAACCTAAATGAAATCAGTATTGCCTTAGAGTAAATATTTTATCAAGGCTCGTAATCCAAAGAAACTGCAATGTATGTAGGTTATAGTAAGGCAGGATGTAGCTGTGCAGTTTCATAAGGTAGACTTAAGTTTTCGTATTTATTTATAACTAAACGTAGCCAAGCATGCAAGATTTCTTGTGGGTAATTTGAAAAAATAAAAAATAAAAAATCTCAAATATTACTTAAGTAGCATGAATTGGGCATTTTGTTTTATATATGTATTGTGGAACATTTTAGTTATTTACTTCCCTTCGTGTTAAGATAAATTACTTGGAGCAGGGTTATAATTAGGTAGAACATAAGTATAGGACCTCAGATAATTGCTTTATTTTGTTGTAATTATTGTAATTACCTAAACAGTTCACAGCTCTTTTCGGTGTGAACTAGAAATATTTAAAACTGCAGCCCTAAGTTAACTAGAGTAATTAAAAAAGTATTATAAAATACTTTTATCTGGTTGCCACTTACACAAAAATATTGTCAAGTTATTATTGCCTGGAACATTTCTCTGGTGGCTACTTAAATGTTGTAATTTATTGTTAAATTAAATAATATTTTCATTCCATTCTGGGTGCTATTATTGATTGTTTTTATTGAGTGACCCTATCTTAGGTGCCATAAAATGAAATATTAAGATCATTAATGTATTTGCAAGATGGTTTACCAGTACAGTTAGAAGGAAAATATTTTTAAGTAAAGGTATATTACATACATTATTACCCCATGAGAATGTCCTGGGGAATTTTACCTTATTTGCACAGTTGTAAGCTGCCCCTAATTCTAAGTCACAGTAAATTTTGCACATAAGGCACTGTACTTTTACATTCCAAGGTGAACCACCACTTTCAGATCCCACATCAGAATTATATTCCCCTTGAAAAGTACGCTTAATATAAAAGATCTATATTATGCTGCGAATAGTGTTTGCAATCTTCCTTAAACCTTGATTGTCATAGTCTTTCATGACTCTCAAACATATTTACCGGCACTGCCAGACTGTCACGTTATAATATCATTAGGCATAAAAGTTTGTCATCACCAGTATAAGATTGCCTGGTTGTTGTACCAGTATAAGATTGCAGACGATGAGTCACAATAACATGGCTGAAGATATGATGACCAAACCACACATCAGAAAATGGAGAAATGGAGATGTTTTCATCGTCATTATCATACTTGATTATGCTCCAGGACGGACAAAAATGTTGTCGTTTCTTCGTTTTCTGATGTGTGGTTTGGTCATCATAGTATAAGATTGTCAAACACTCATATAATGGTGTGTGGCCTGCGTTCATCACGTCGGCGGGTGGAGCACGCTGCGTTTTTTTACATTATATGCATATACTCCTGTTGGGAATTCTATTGCGAACACATTGATACCAAAATGAAAGACCTAGGACGAGAATTGAGGTGACCAAAGTGAAAGAGCGTACACATTTTATTGCTCTTGCGCGCTCCCAGGAAACTCGCTCTCAATTTCTGTGTTTGCTGCGGGTGGTAAGCTGGGCTTTTGGAGTTTATATGCATTTAGTGCTGTAGAGAATTCTATTGCAAACACATTGATACCAAATTGAAAAACCTAGGACGAGAATTGAGGTGACAAAGTCGAAAAGACTATACAGTACACTTTTCAGAATTACCGCACACTCCCGTGGAATGCCTGGACACACCTGGGGTAGTGCGGCGCTCGCTCCCGCAGAATGCAAAAGTGCTAATGAGGATAACTTTCTATAATTGTTAAATCTCTTGCCCTCAATACAAGTAGTGTAATGTACTACAGTTGTTTGTCATGTACTTTAGAAGAATTTATACATATCCTCCTAAATCTACTATATGAGACAACTCTCTAAATTATGAAAATAAAAATTACACAATTACAGTAAAGTTAATATTGGTAAATGATTTAATGCTTTGCCGTATTAGATTCTATAAAGGGTTTTGAAAATGTGCAAAAGCAACACTGTCGGAAGACAGGGTTATCTCGAGATGATTTCGGGGCTTTTTAGTGTCCCCGCGGCCCGGTCCTCGACCAGGCCTCCACCCCCAGGAAGCAGCCCGTGACAGCTGACTAACACCCAGGTACCTATTTTACTGCTAGGTAACAGGGGCATAGGGTGAAAGAAACTCTGCCCTTGTTTCATTCCGGCGCCCGGGATTGAACCTGGGACCACAGGATCACAAGTCCAGTGTGCTGTCCGCTCAGCCGACCAGCTCCCCAACTGCAACAAGGGTTGATACAACTGCAGTACTTGTTGTAATCTTGAACTTCAGCATTGACCAACCTAGCAGCAGAATTGCAGTGATGGTTGTCTAGGTAGTGGTAATGGTGGTGGTTACAGTTTGGGTAAAGGTGACTTGCACCTTTTAGCACAAAACTTTGTTGCTTAGAATTGGGTAAATACCACAATTTTGCCCCCGCTTTGTGTTTTATGTTAACTCAGTATTTGTCAGTGCAGTAATCTAGCAGTTTTGTATGACCTGATTATAAACTCTGAAGACAAGGTCTTTACCATTCTTAGAAATGCACAGGATTTTTGGAACCATTGGATCAAGAGACAAGCTTGGTTGCATAATGTTCAATTTTGGTCTGGCTGAAAGGTTTTCATTTTGAGTGGCTGTTTTTAATTTTGATCTGCGCCAACAGTATTTTCTTGCTTCAACACCTCCATTTCATATTATTACAAGTTATATACAGTATACTGTATCCCTGAACATTTTGATTAAATCATATTTAATGACTATTCCAAATTGAAGAAACTTCTCAACATTTCTCAAGCACTAAAATGCGTCGCCTGCCAGAATGCTCAGGTGTGTGCAAAAGAAGAAAGTTAAAGGTTTAAATAAGGTTTTGGTGTTTGAGTGAATGGAATAGGATGTTATGGATCTCTCTAGATTGGCAAAGCACAGTTATCTGAATCCTATAGGGGTTGTGTTGGATAATGATGAATGTGTTGGATAATTGAAGGTGTTGTTTCAACACAAGGGAATGAAGAAGTTGCTCCATTGTTTATTACAAAGGTGCCGCTATCAGAAGCTTGTAGTGTATCGTGCTTGTGCCAGAATTTATCAAATGCTCAACAAAGTTCCTGAAGTGAAGAATTTCTTGCACAAAGTCAGGTTCGATGTCATCCAAGTAAATCTTGTGAAACCTGGATGCTGCTGATGAATACAACACAGTTTTATTCAAAAGAATGTGTGTACAAAGAACAAAGGAGTAATGTACAAATTGTAGGGACAGGAGTTTCACAATCTATGAAGCCACTATTACACAAAGTGTTTCGGGCAAAATCATAAAATAGACAAATTTTTTTTTTACAAAGGTGTGAGGGGGGAAATAACAAAAGAATGCAAAAAAGTGACACTTAAGGATGACAGGCATAGACTATTACAATGTGAAGTCAGTAGTTGCAGCAATAGTACAGTAGTTTATTTACATTGATAACAAAATGGAAACACAGGGTGTAGTTTGAAATGTCATCATCATTCAATATTGGAAACTGGACCAGGAAACCAAATAAAGAAGGAACGTTTTATATGCTACAATGCGACGAGAAAGAGCTGAGCATAACTTGATTCTGATGGATAGATATGTTTACACCTTAAAATTAAACCTATGATCAGCAAATTATATTGGGTCTACTGGCAGAGACCCCTGGGCTGTAGCTCCCTGAAACCCAACTTAATCCAACACTGCTTGTGGTGGGGGAGGGTGTGTGTGTGTGTGAGAGAAAGTTATGTGAATGTACATAGGGCAAGATACTGTACGCAGATAAACAAATGACCATATTGCAGCAGTAATAAGTTATGTAGTTCTCACTGGGTTCCATGATAGGAGATGCAGCTGGAATTTTATAATGTGTCTAATAAAAAGGTTTATATGTATATTTTTAATACTGTTCATTTTACTAATTTATTAAATAATAAATAATATGTTTAAAATATTTTCATCAATTGAAAAAAGTATACGTACTCCTGCTAGCTCTGAATTGCCAAAACCATGAAAAAAATCCACAAATAGCATGTTATGCCTATAAAGCCAAAATTGAAGATCTCCCAAAATCAGAAAGGATTTCAAAATATTACATACCTATTCATACTTGATGGTTCCAGTAATCTATGTTCCCTATGGCCCAGTGTCTGACCAGGCTTCCTGGTTGGTTGTCTGGTCAACCAGGCTGATGGACACAGGTGTTAACAGCCTAACATACGAATCACAACCTGGTTGATTAGGTATCCTTTGAAGGTATTTATCAAGCTCTCTTTCTTGAACACTGTGAGAGGTCAGTTAGTTAAGCCCCTTATGTGTAGAGGGAGTGTGTTCAAAAGTCTAGGGTCATTGATGTTGATAGAATTTTCTGTATATCTATTGCACCTCTGCTTTTCAATGGGGATATTTTACACATCCTGCCATGCCTCTGGGTCTCATGGTTTTATTTCCATGTACAGATTTAGAACCAGTCCCTCTAATGTTTTCCAGTTATAAATTATTACGTATTCTTCTCACCAACACTCTAAACTCTAAAGAATACAGATTTAAATTTTTTAGGTAATCCCAATAATTTATATGTTTTATTGAGTGGATTTGGCCAGTGAAAGACCTTTTCCTATTCTCCAGGTCAGCACTTTCTCCAACTTTGAATGGGGCTGCTAGTTTGCCACAATATTCTACCCCTAGAGAGCACTAGTATCATAAAAAGTATCATCACTAGTATGACATCTCTTGTTTGAAAGGTTCTTGTTATCCAACTTGCTATTTTTCTTACAGTCGTAACAACTAATTTGTATTTTTTATAAATATCTTTTGACATAATTACTTCCACATCTTTTATATTGCTTTTTCTTTCAATAGTTCGATTTGGCTGTGTTTAACATGTGGTATTTATTTTGATATTTTCGTTTTTCCATAGTGTAGTAGCTGGAATTTACCTTTCATTAAAGAACACTGAACCTATTATCACTATACAACTTAAGTTTACTCCATGTATTTGTCTCTTTGTAGAACTATATAAACAAAGCTAGAATACCCGTTATTACGTTAATCTCTTTCTATTAGCAAATATTCTGTACTGAATAAAGTCAGTTTTGTATACCAATGATGTAAATGAGAATACGTCTTATCATCATTTCATTTTCTTCGTGGGGGTTATCAGAAGTAGTTATCATTGGGGGGGATGCAGAAGTAGTTTCAAAACATTTGGAAGGTGCATAAAGCAAGAATGTACCATAATTCATGAAGTGTGTATAACACGAGAAACTGAACATCAATGAAGCATACCTTGCCATACTTAATTTTTGGTTTTAAAGAATGTCTAGAACAGCACTATTATTAATATATTTTAAGGAAAATGCAAATAGGAAAAGTAAAATACTGTACTTTAAATGATTATTGTAAGTTTCTTCATACAGTAATTCATGCTTAGTAAATGGTTTACCATTGCTGGAGTACAGGAATCCTCTTAGACTTATCAAAGTGCCTAAATCCCAGGGGCCAGGTTCACGAACTAGTTACGCAAGTACTGTACTTATGAACGTGTACATCTTTCCTCAATCTTTGACAGCTTTGGTTACATTTATTAAGCAGTTTACAAGCATGAAAACTTGCCAATCAACTGTTGTTATTGTTACAAACAGCCTCCTGGTGCTTCGAAGCTCATTAACTGTTTAATAATTGTAAACAAAGCGGCCAAAAATTGAGAAAAGATGTGCAGGTTCGTAAGTGCTTGCGTAACTGTTTTGTGAATCTGGTCCCAGGCACCTATTTACTGGTAGGTGAAGCGAGGCATCAGATGAAAGGAAACTTGCCAAAATGTCTTCGTGTTTTGTGGAAATTGATTCCGGGACCTTTTGTTTGTGCACCGACTGCTCTGATCACTGCTACACGACTTGCCTGCCCAAATAATTTTTACTTGGTTATCCAG